TTATTTCATTTGGAAATTCGGATTTAATACTATTTAGAAACCCGGCCGGGCGGAAATTAATATAATTAACGGCTTGACATGTTGGGCAGGACTGGACATACGCCCTTGTTAACTTTTGCAGTTCAGGAAAGTAGACTGCCTCGCGTACGCGTTGAGTAGTTTTTCGAATACCAGCATGAGAAGCTAAAGGGCTGTCATGGAGCTCTTGCAGGATATTTAATCTAAGACTAGCTGGGATAACAGGTCGAAATTCGTTGTTGGAATTCGTAGTTTTTGTATAAAATAATAGACCATCTATTAGTTCGTAATGGGCCGCCCTATTTCTTATCGCCACAATATCTTGGTGGCTAAAATTTTCAGGATCCTTCAAATACTCATAAATACTTCCAAACTCAGGATCCTTACCCAGTTCGGTTATTACAGTTTCTCGGGAATTTATTGTACACGCTGTCAGCATTGCAACTTTTACGGTATTACCCTGTTCGTCTAATTTAATTCGTGATAGGGCATCTGCTACGATATTTTCCTTTCCGGGGGTATGCTTGATTACCAGATTATATTCTTGCAGCTTGAGTGCCCATCTTATTAACCTTGGGGATAAATTTTTTCCTGAGTACAATCTAGTTACCGCCGCATGATCAGAATATACTGTTATCGGCGCCTTTCCAAAATAGACTCGGAACTTTTGCACTGCTAACAGAACTGCAAGTGCCTCTCTCTCGGTCGCGGAATATTTTCTTTGTGTTTGATTTAAAGTTCGGCTAAAAAATGCCACTGGCTGCTGATTTTGCGAAAGTACCGCTCCTACCGCATAATCCGAAGCATCCGCTGAAATTTCTAAATTTTCATCCTTTTCAGGAAATTTCAACACAGGGGCTTGCGTTAATGCTTGTTTTAATTTTTCGAAAGCACTATTGGCTTCGGCCGTCCACGAGAATCTTGCCTTTTTCCTTTTTAATTTTAACAATGGCTCAGCGATAGCCGCAAAATCTTTTATAAAGGACCTATAATATGAACAAAGTCCTAGAAAAGAAGAGAGCTTCTTTGCCGTGTTTGGAGTCGGATACTTTTGTACAGCGATTATTTTTGATTCATCTGTCTCGATCCCTTTTTGCGATATTTTGTAACCTAAATATTTTAATTCAGGGGCTGCAAATTTGCATTTTTCGACATTAACTTTTAGACCGGCCTCATTTAATAAAGAAAACACCTGTCTTAAATCCTGTACATGTTGGTCTAGATTATCACTAGTAATAATGATATCGTCTAAATAGATAAATGTGGACTTTCCGAGAACAGGTCTTAACACAATGTCCATGCATCGCTGAAATGTTGCTGGGGCGCCTGAAAGGCCAAACGGCATTCGCAAAAATGCATAAGTGCCAGACTTGGTTATAAAAGCAGTCTTAGGCACGTCCTCAGGCCTGATCCCTATTTGAAAATAACCATTCGTTAAGTCTAAAGTTGTCATAAATTTGGTTGATTTTATGTTTCTTAAAATTTCTTCTATAATCGGTAACGGATATACCGGATATTTCGTTATGGAATTTAATTTACGGTAATCAATAGCGAATCTCCACCTTTTTGGATGCTCCAAAGGATAATCATTATTTTTCTTACATAAAACCACCGGACTAGCATAACTACTTGAGATAGGCGTTACGATCTTTTTACGTAGCATATCGGTAATATGCCATTCTATAATTTTTTCCTTATTCTTATCATACCGGTATGGTTTTTGACGAACCGGCAATGCATCTCCGGTGTCAATACTATGGTTAGTAACCTGGGTAAATCCTGGAATATCACTAAATAAGGAAGCAAATTCACTTACCACTTGTCGGATTCTATCTTGCTCGTCATTAGGCAGGTGGTCGAGATTTACCCTTGGCGGTTCAACCTTTTCTACACGCACTGGTTTCATCGTCAGCTTAAGAGACGCTTCATTAAAATCCAGTGTAGCTTGTGCGTCTGAAAGAAAGTCTATTCCTAGTATTAAGTGTGCTTGCAAATTCTTTACTATAAAAAACATCACCTTTACTTGTTCGTCCTTGATACGGATGTACAAAGGTACTTTACCTACGCACTTACATTGTTCTCCTTGCGCCGCTAATACTGTTGTATTATCCGCATTATATATGCGGTATTTGCGAAAATACTTTCTAAAAAAGACTTCTGCCACACAGGAACACTGCGCGCCGGTATCCAGGAGTGCGGTGGCCGGGATATTATTTACCAAGACTTCAATCTTCGGAAGAGTTAAATTTTTCACCATTACTGTATTTAACTTGTAGGAAGAGGGGTTTTCGTGGCCTTCGGATTTCCGCACCCTCTCGTCAGCAGAAATCCGTTTTAGTTTAAATTATTTTTTCTTTCGGTGCTTTCCTTCTTTCTCCACTGGCCTTGAGACTTTTTTCCTGGGTTGCTATTGAACTGTCGACGTTCGCCGGCTGTTTTTGAATGCTCGGGTTTCCTTGCCCACTGATTCGCTTTTTCTCCGTAGCCATGTGCTTGAGTTTGCTGTAGTCTTGGCGTACCAAATTGGTTTCGCTGTTGATATTGGCGTCTTCTTTCGACGTCCGCCGTTCTTCTACTTTCAAACTGGATTGCTAGCTCAAATAATTTTTCCAGTGTAGTCGGATTTCTCAATTCAATAAAGTCTTGCACTTGGGGTAGTAACCTCGGCAAAATCACTTGAATTATTTCAGGATCCGGACGGTTTCCATACAAGAGCTTGAAAACGTGAATTTTTCTTAAAATAAACCTGAGAGGGTTTTCCATTCTTTGTTGATATATACTGAAAAGTTCTGTTTCTAATTTCGCACGATCCCTTACAACAGGGAAGGCTTTTAGTAGGGCAGTCTTGAAATTTTCGTAGGTATAGGTGGGACTTCCTGCTTGACCCAAGAGACTTCTGCCGATACATTTGAACCAGTTTAAGCGCTTGGCCCCTCAAAGCGCTGGTAGCTAAGGTAACTTTTTGAAACTCGTGCACGGGGTAGAGCATGAAGTGGTCATCCAATTTTTCCAAAAAACTGGTTACCTGTGAGTTTCCATTAAACGTTGCTTCTGGTTTCATCGAAGCGCGCATGGTCTGGACAATATACCCAAATCCTTCCAGGGCGGCAGCTGGCATTTCTGGATTCTGAGCTGTTTCTGCAGGCAGCACAGGTTCTTCTTGAAACTCGGCCATGGTTATTCCCTGTTCGGGCGCCACTATCAGGTTCAATGTTTCTTCTAACCTTCTTCGGAAACATACAATGACCTGACTAGAACAGAGAGCTTACTAAAGCTATGTTCACTAATTGTAGTAAGTAGACAGGATACAGACGAAGGGTATACAAAACCCTTTATTTTTTTCTTTATATACAATGACTTCCGTACTTCGGAATACAATGACCCTCCACTCGGGGTCTAACTTAAAAGATATCAAAATAAAACTAAACTCTAATTTAACTTTAGAATAAAGATTGGCCTTATAATAACAGAAAGCGTATGTAGCACAGAGACTGTGAACACTACAATACGTTTAATTTATCAAGAGGATTAAAACCTCTGGCCTGGAAGGCAAAGTAGCAACTGCGTAACTTCTAAGGTAAGCGGCCTGCTTCGAACTCACGGCTTCCTCTCTTCTGCTTGGCAAAAAGGCCACACTTAAATACTTGGCGTTCGCCAGACAACTTTGCATAAAACTCCTTCACGCTTATAATTCTGGCCGGAAGTAGAAAATAAGAAGTGATAGTAAAGATTTAAAATAAAATAAACGTTAGTAAAACTTAAGATCCTTACACACCTTTTATTTAAACTACGCAGTTCGAATGGGTAAATAGAAATTTTTAAAACAGTTATTCGAAAGAAACCATGCAACTTAAACAATTAAAATGAAATTCGAAAAAGAGAAAATTACTTAAACTAATAACAATTTTAATTAAAAATATAATATGAAGAACATTATTTGAAAAAAGGAATGATTGTGACTTTTTTTCCGCTCACAGGAAAGGAAAATTGGTTGTCATATATATTAAGAAGTTCGCCAAGTGAACTATTCCTGGCACAAACTGAAAAAAAGCGCCAACATAAATTTGTGAATTTCTCCGTAAATTTCGCACCAAATTTTACAAAATTTAATATCTAGGCATAATTTGAGTCGTAGAATCAAAATATGGAAAAACGTGGTATGTTATTTCAGAAAAAGTTCGATTTCGTGTCAAAATAACTATGTTAGAATAGAGCTATATATAAATCTAATATATATCCTAAGTCGCGCTTTCCAGACATGAAGAACGCAATTTGAATTTCGTCAATCGGCCCAGTAGAACGGGAGGTATAGAACTGTTCCATTTTTTTCCGCACTGTACATAATAGATATTTATTGATTTAAATGTTATAGAACCCAAAGATAGGAAAAATAAAGACATTCGAAAATATCTAAAACGCCCTTTCTTTGTAGCTTAAAGTGTGAAAAATTCTGTAAATTTTTTATTATTGCGTTCAATAAAAGTAATCTCATTTTAGACATTGTATAAATATTGCGCTTTGTTCGCAAAGCGTCTCGTTACTAAAATTATTGATAGATTTCATATTTAGGCTTTCTATTTTTACTCAAGAAGCTGTGTTAAATTAAGAAATACAGAAATCTCCCGCGACGAAATAGAGTGTTATTTATAAATTTACTTAATTATGCCTATTTTGTAAAAGTTTTATACCTTTTCTCTTCCCCTAATTCATATTCTTAGAAGCAATAAATTTAACACGTATCGAAGGCTACCGTGATTTAGAGTCCAGATGCAAAAGGAAAAGAATTTTTAAGCATTTAAATTGCTATTCTGTTTTGATGTAGCCCAAATATCGTTAGTCGTATGTGTAAAATTGTTACGTTTGGTACAATATTTTACTACAAATATTGGTACCTGATTATTATTATCACTTTAAATAAATAAAAGTATGTGCATATACGTGTATATGTTCCAGTTTTTTATTCTATCAATAATTTATTTTAGACCCTTGTAGCCTAGGATCATATTCAGACAGCGGTTTAAAACCCTGTGTTGTCTGTCCTGTCGGATCGTATCAAGATGAAGCTCAACAGAATTCTTGTAAAACATGTCCTCCTGGTAAAAGTACAGAGACTTCCGGCTCAAAATCAGTAAAAGAGTGTAAAGGTATGTGTCAGTTTTCACAATTAACGTAAAGGAAATATTTCTGTTGAAAATGATTACAAAATCGTAAAAGTGTTGTCCTTCAGATGTACAGAAAATGTCTGTTGTAGAAGATAACTTATATATTAATGTGTTTTGCATATTAAAAAATGTCTTCCAACCTCAAAACACAGTAGATGATTTCCGTTGCAAAATTTAATTATGCAAAACTAATTACAATTTACGTAAAGGAAAGAATCTTCCGTACTGGAAGATTTCCAATGTAGATTATAAGTTACTTTCGCCTTCCTCACGACGTTCTTTCGTAGTGTAATCGGTATCAGGTCCAACAAGCAGTCGGAAGATCCGGAGTTTTTTGTGATTCTTATGGCAAATAAACACCTAATAGCTGTACAGTGGTGCCCAACTAAGATGTGGTGGACGATAATTCTTCACTATTTGAATTTGGCAGAATGGGTCTCGTTCTTTTCACTTAAGCTGCCTTAAAATGGGAGAGAATGTAAGAAGTTTTCTCCTTTCTTATTACTTTCTCCGCAGTGTATCCGACTGGCAATCGAAAAATCCAGTGCTCGAACCCGCCGACGACGCAGATGATTTTTCGTAATTCGTGCTTCAAATAAATGCCTAACAGCTCTGCAAAGTTACAGCACAGTACATGTTCAATGGCTGAAATTGCTTTTCCTTTAATTGATTAAAATGTAATAGATTTGTAAAGATATGTATTTTTTTAGACTTGTATATATCTAATTTTATAAGAATAAGTCTTGATTTAATGGGCATTCTAAGTTTCTGGTAAAACACAAATGTATTATTAAATAGTTCTGATTACAGGATTTTGCTTTATTTATTACATGTTTAGAAACTTTAAAATTATGGAGGAAAAAAAGGCGAACTTGGATTAAAAAAAAATTGGATTTACGGGTGATCAGCATATGTCCTTTTTCATCAGGAACAAAAAAAAATGGTTTGCTATGTAGAAACGTGAAACCAGATATCACTCAATCCATAAACATGTTTTCATAAAATTATAATAAAATTATAAACTGTAACAACTCTTAATGTTAATCAAAAATCTGCAAAATCCGCAGTTATTATCATTATTAAACTCGATGTTGACTTATTGATGTATTTTTTGCTCTTTAAGAATATGGAATTAATCTTGATTTTAATAATTAATTTGCTCCGATACCTTAAAATTTATGCAAACGCTGTAGGTAAATCTGATTAAACCTTATATACTGAGTTTACTCGAGTTTTACAGGATTTCTCTACAGTAATTGATTTTTACTCCAAATTGAATTGACTAAAATGCTTCATGAGAATAAGTTCTTTGAGTAGCAACTATTCGCGGAAATATTTGGTCTGACTAGAATTGCCGGTTTGGCTTTAACTTTTAACTCGAGTAAAGACGAAACACTTTCATATTTACGTATTTTTATCAATTATTGTTCATTGAACGGGAGTTGGTTTGTTCCCCTTGAAAAGTCAACTAATTTCCGATCAATGACAATAATTACATGTTTTAATTTTTCCTTTTACAATTGTAAATATTATTCTTCGTGACGATTTAACTCCAGTCCCCGTTAAAACATTATTAACATTTTGCTTTCAAATTACTTCAAAACATCTTTCAAAATATAACTACCCAGTATGGATGCACACTTTTAAAATAATTCTACTTTTAAATAAACTTAGGAGATATATATAAATCAATTAATCAATACTGTTTAGGAAATAAATTATATATATATATTATATATATATACATTCTATATAAATCAAATTGTCATACGTATACTATAGGACTTTACTCTGTGCAATAGAGTTATTGTGCATATATATCTGTACAATCTCTGCCAACTCCATGCTCATAGGTATCAAAATCGAATCTGTTTTTAATATACACCTGATAAAGCGTTCTTAGGAGCCTCACAGAAGTTGCTGGTATTTCTAGATAGTGGAAGACGCGGATAAATACCTGCTTACCCCTGTTAGACATCAGGTAACCCCGTCTTCCGTCACATGTGCTAAGGATGTCCAGAAGACCGGTGCCATTCAAACGGACGCGGAATAAGCGATGAGAAATAATATACTATTTTCTATTTAAAGATCTTAAGTGTGAAGCAAAAGTCTTGGCTTAGGCAGTTTCTAACTGAGGCAGATTTAGTAAATAATTTTTATTTTTACATGAAGTACATTTTATATTCTTAAGAAAAATAAAAGTATGTGTTTATTTCGTTATAAAATTGCTTTTTGTCAGTGCATATACTTACAGATCGGCCTAACTTTTACAGAAATTGACATATGTCAAGTCTACCGGCCTTGTCCTAATGTGTCTACATGTATTTGCACTGAAGATGGCTATAAATGCTTGTGCCCCGAAGGATTGCTTGGACGTCATTGTGAAATTAATATCGACGAATGTGCATCTGATCCCTGTATTAATGGTGGAACTTGCACTGATGGCATTGGTGATTACATATGTAGTTGCCCTGAAGGATTTTCTGGACATCAGTGTGAAATTAACATCAACGATTGTAAAGAAGGTAAGTGCTTTCTTATTAAATTTATTGCTTTTGTTTTTGTTATGGAATTTATCGATTTATACATATATAATAATTATGGATTGTACATGGGAAAGACTTTTACTGATTTTTTTAAGTCTTATAAACAACCGCGCTTTTTTTTTTTTTTTTTTTTTTTTTTTGAGGTTTCTTACATTAATTTCTTACTCTAACCATTCTATATTTTTCAGAAAAGCAAAATAATATATATATTATTAAGTAACTAAAATTATATATATACAAGAAGAAACATAAGAGGCACAAAATTAAAAGCAAATTTTTATACCCGTTCCTTGCTATAGCTACAAGATTGAAGTAAAATAGACTTGAAGATTCTAAAGTTAAAAGTAAATTGGAGTCAAAGCAAGGTAATTCCTCAACGATATTAATATTAGCAATCGTGTATAAGAGGTTAACACAAAATACAAACATATCAAAATTAAAATAGGAATTTATAGTAGTACAAACTCCAAAAATAAAAATGCAAAAGGGAAAAAAACGCAGGATAATAAAAATTAAAAATAATAATTAATCTACCTTTACTAAAACTCCAATTCAGGACTCATCAGGGGAAAAGAAATTAAAGCTTCACAAAAGTCGGTTAATATGTTTCGAAAACGGGTTTTGTTCTCCTGGTTCATTTGAGATCAAAAACCAAAATAAGAATCTATTAAATGTTCATTTAAGACTCTAAAATTCATATAAAACAGAAAATTCGAATCTCAAATGTACTAGTATTTTCCCTACACGCCTTCGAAACACTTGATAAAAATAACATTGTCCTAAATTTACTACTCCAGGGAAAAAAAAAAAAAAAAAAAAAACCCACAAAAATTTACATTATGTTAAAAAGACCATTAAAAAAATCAAATTGGTCTAAAATCATGATATGCAAATCCGAAATTCAAAAGCAAATAAATATAAAGCCTATCAACTTTAAACCAAATTATCATTTAAACAACACTAAAAAAAAATTGGGAGGTCCCTGATTATGATAAACTAAACTTTTAATGCCGAGAAAACGAAAAACCTTTCGCAAAGATTCTTTTATTTAAAGAATATTATATTCCGTATAATAAATAATAATAATATAAATATTCCGTCTAATAAATTCCGTATTAAGAAGCCGTATATTTCACGATATCCTCTGCAATGTAGGGCCATAAATAGGTAGTGAACGTTTTCTGTAGTTATAATTTATGGAGCAGGTCTCATTTCTGCCTGGGCCCACAAAGAACGAGCGCGAATTTCTCGCTTCTAGGAGCCCACAAATCATCCTGTAACTCTTCATAACCTTATGCTCGGGAGAAAAACTTTATGTTTTCTTCCGAAAACAAAGGAAAGTAAGCGCTGAAAGAACGCTACACCTTGGGTATCAGACTACCTTAGTCAGGCCTTATGCTGAGGCTTTATGCTACATTATAACAGGGCAAGGCATTACCTGTACAATTTAATTTTACATTTTTTATGTTACATTTATTTTCTACTGTTTCAAGCTGCACGTTGAAACAAAATTTTAAAAGAGTTTTATTTAAAAAGATAAAGTAAAAAGATAAAGGATATAAACTTAACGTTGCTTTATTAAGTCCGAGCACATAAAATATTCACGTAACTCGCCAGTTTGACGTTAATATTAAATTCATTGGCAGTTTTAAAATATTAATTACCACAAATAAAGAGAAAAATCTCAACTAACTGTCATAAATCAAAGTTGAATTTTACATGAAGCAACTAAATAATTATTTTAAGCCTAAAGCTAGATGACATACATGATTTTATAATATAATCCGAGTTTAATTTCCATGTGCATTACAAGTGTATATGTTGTAAGCATTAAGCATCTCTGAAATATAATAAAGGTATATCAGCATTTTGTTAATATTTTTAGGTAGTTGCGAGAACGGTGGGACATGCATAGACCTGATCAATGACTATAAGTGTGAATGTGTACCTGGTTACAATGGACAACACTGTGAAATAAACACTTATGAATGCACTTCGAATCCATGTCATAATGGAGGGATTTGTTTTGATAAACTGAATGTAAGAAATCTTTTTCATTTTTTTACAGTACTAGTGTAGAGGCTTAAAATTCAATCGCGTATGTGCCTGTTATCCTTACAACCTTACAGTTATTGATGATTTCCTCTACAGAGTTACAAATGCTGCTGTCAAGCTGGATTTGGGGGAGAAAATTGTGAACTAACAGTGGAGCCTCCGGATCCTTGTGACCATATAAATTGTCTGAATGGTGGAGCCTGTGTTTCTAATGGAAGTGACTCCAGTTGCTCTTGTCCCTTGGGATTCCGAGGAGAATTCTGTGAAGAGAATATTGATGATTGCTCAGATTACACTTGCTATAATGGCGGAACATGTGTTGATGGCATTGAAAATGCTACCTGCCGCTGTTCCCTGCGGTTTACTGGAAAACACTGTGAAGAAGGTAATAAATATAATTTTTCAATTATATAGTTTATTAGTCATGCATAAATTATGTCACCTTGAGTTTATTTTCTTTCAAGCTGGATATATATCAGTATATGAGTTAATAAATCGAAGGTCGTAACTACGTATTGAGAACCTAAAACCGCTAGTGTGTAAAGACATTAGAATTTTTTTGGAAGCAGGCAAGATGAAAAATGATCAATCGCCTTCACCGGGATTCGAACCAAGGACCTCTGGAATACCGGCTCAGCGTGCAGAACTACTACACCACGAAGGCACGCTATGAAGGCAGGAGAAATACTTCATATACTCCGTCTTTTAACAGGCGACTGAGGTGTTTAGGAGACCCCAATCGCCAAATCCTGGGTGAGGAGAATCTTTCTTTCTTTCCACCGACAGCGAGGCAGCCGGTCCACTGGGTAGTTAGCATATCGGCCAGGTAGCCCCGCTGACGGAAATAACTTGATCAAAATAACACACTTATATATACATATTGTGCTCAAGACGACTGCTGGGGGCAGTGCAAACAAATGCTGGACGAAGACGATAGTGCAGTGATGGAAGAAGGGTGCATTGCGTGTGAGAAGAACAATTTCAGTTGCATATTTACAGAGTTATGGATAGGTGGTTATAAAAGACATCCACAACGTGAACAATAAATGAGTACAGTGCATCATCCAACACCCTTTTAATTCGGGCGCCACTGTAGAGACATTAGGTTAATTAGAAAAGCCGGAGAGATGAAAAATGAGAATCGCCTTCCCCAGGAATCGAACTACGGACCTCTGGAATACCAGCCCAGCGTGCAGAATCACTACACCACGAAGGCACGCTAGGAAGGCGGGATTAGTTAGATCTTTAACATAATCAAGAAGTTCCTGTATAATTTGCTTTTCATTGGAAACTTCTGCAAAATTATTTTCAATGTCTTCGTTAGACTGAGAAGTAAACATTAAACTATACAGCAACAACTTAATGATAAAATGAGAAGGAATAACTCTGTTAGCATGTGCAAGCAAGAATCCCCAGCTATACTCCAGAAAAGAGTATATCCCAAAAATACATAAACGACGCCTTTAGAAAATAGTGACGAGCCAGCATGATACATTTGAACATGCGCTCCGAAATCCGTGAAATTTGAAGGAACCATAGTATAGATGGCAAAATTTTTTATACTAATCTGCGAATTATAACGTTATGTGTATCTTCACAGCATGCTAAAATAAAAAAAAATTTAAATTTTACATATTATTTAGAATTTACCACTTAAAACTTTTATATACCTGGGAGAAGGTATGATACTTTGTCACTTGGTGAGAAGAGGGAAATGGCATAATAAAGGTTTATGACCGTTATTATATTATATTTCTTAATTAATAGGATTGTGGATATGAACAAAGCTATTCCACGCTGTGCCAGTGTAGATGAGCAATAAACGTATCAAAATCATTCAAGGTACAAAACAAATTTGAAACCTCTTCAGTAAAATCTTATGATTTTTGGAAAGAATGAATACTTTTTCTTACTACAACACAAGCACTGATATTTTCCTTTAAGATATGTACTGCATTTCACCTTTACATTATAAGATTATTATTTAAATAAACCAGTTACTTATAGTTTCAGCCTTTACTATAGCTACTGCTTTCCGTTTCCTCACGAGAATGTAAATGAGGTTAGATAGGGATTAAACTGGGGTTTTTAGATTGTAAGACAGAGCATGTTTCTGACCCTGCGCGTGCACATTACGTTTAGTTCCTGGCAGCTCTGATAAATTGTAATTATTCTATTTTGCATTATGTCGTTTCCGACACTTGAATTTGATACGTCGGTAGAGTTACTGAGCCAACTTAGAGTATATTTAAATTGGGTAATCTTTGACGACGCTTAACTTGAATTCGTCTGTTTCTGTTTAGTTACATCAGCACGAGCTGTGGTTGAGTTTGGTAGTGTTCTAAGTTCTGCTTGAATTAAAAGTTTTATTTAAACCTTTTCCTGAGATTGTAGTTACTTTTAGATATAAAGATAATTTGCTTAATGCCTGTTAAGGGTTTTGAGATTAATTAACTTTTACCAGATCAAGGAAAATCCCATAACATGAAAAATAAAATGTGAGTTACTGAGCAAGAGAAGATGTATGGGCATTATGTTCATATCATATAATATCAAGAATTAATTTCCTAAAACGTTTCAGTGAATGGCTATCCTAATTCACATAAAAAATAATTAGATATATATTGGGTATTATTTAGAAAGTTTTTTATTAGTTTTGTTATTAAATAGTATAATAACTAATAAATAACTAATATATGAATTAAATTCTCAATGTAAATTGTTTTAAATGGTGCATATGATCTGATTTTTGTACATTTTAAGAAAGATTTGAATTTTTTGTATATATTTAATTGCATTTAAAGGGATAAATCCTTTATCTAAAAGTATGATTTCTTTGCATTGCTAAGATGCAGATACCTAACGTCGTTATTTCAGAATTGATTGTTTTTAATTAAGAGATTTGTTAATATTAATTTTAGGTGCTTATAAATGAGTAAAATAGACAGAAGTAATTAGGTGAGTGCTACTAATTAGTAATTAGTTGTAGTAATTAAGTAAGCAAGTGATAAATATTTAAATAAATGAAATGGATATTAAATGAAACTATACTTATGTAAGAGAAAAATTATACAAAGGTGCGTTTTTTATATGTGTTATAGATGCAGTTCCTGAATATACGCTGAGTTTCATGAAACAGACAACATCAAATTTCGTAAAATTGGAAACTCACCGTTTAATGCATGCTATAACTGTCTCTTTCTTTATGAGAACTAATTACAAAAATGATAAAAGTAGAGCCACTCCAGTGTCATTTAGCTATTACAACAAGAAAGAAAAAAAACTGGTAGACAATGCTCTGACTGTTTTGGACATTAATCGAATAGTTCTGTTTCTGCATGGAGAATTGATTCATACTGGATATGTTGCTAATAAGTAAGTACGTTTAATCTTTCCTAGTAAATGTTAACTAATTACGTTAAGTGTTAAATAAGAAAATGAAACATTAATATGCACACACACTCCTTCAAACGCTGCTGAACTAAGCTAAGCTGCTGACGTACAAAATGTACATAATAATGAGCAACTCATTAAAAACGCAAAGGATTTTAAACAAAGTAATGGAATAATTCAGTGTTATACCTAAAAGCCCGGGCCGTTGGATGTCCTCGTTTGCGGTTCGATGGGACGTAGTCCTATTACCATACAGATAAGACTACGTCCATTGTTTAGTACACGAGTCTTCGAGGCTTTTTTACTTAACAGTAAATATGAAAACACATAATGAAGATTCATTAAGTGATTACAGGTATATTGACATAAACCATAGATTTATAACATATGATAAGGAAATGAAGTATGCAAGAATGTACTCAGTATAAAGAACAATTTCCTAAATGTTTGAAATACAGGTTTAGAAAACTGGAAAAAGAACCGAGAGATAAATATCAATAAGAGATGAGAAAGATGAACTAAAGGATTCTGAGTTTAAGTTTGAAGATATTTCATTGGATAAAGCAAACAAAATTCTGGAAACAAAAAGTACATAGAGAATATTGTATGTTGGACACCTTATTTAAAAAAACCTCAAACTGCAAACCAGAGCACTGAGAACTAGCACTCTGTAAGATAACACTGAAAAGGACGAAAAATGTGTTTAAAATGAAATTTTTCTTAGAGAGCACAAGATAATACGATGGATTTTTGCTTGTGAAACTTCTGCTCGCAGGAAGCTGTTGTTGGAAGTGGTCAATGTTAAAGCTGTTGTTGGAAGTCTTATTTGTTGGAAGTGGTCAATGGTTAAACGGAGACTGCTATGAAGTAGTTATGGATCATGTGAAAATACATTTTTGATTGTGGAAAAGCATAGAACGGCGTATTTGGAGAGGTTTGTTGTAAGATTATGTTTGTGGTCAGGATTATCTGCTATTTACTGTGGAAGAGATTGGTAGTGTTGTCGGTAAATTGCGAAATAGAGGCGCTCAAAGGCTAGACGAGATTCCCGCAATTATTGTAAAGCAATTATTTTTTAGTTCCTCTGATATTTTGTGATGCTGTTTAATAAGTGTTTAGTGTTATCTACTTTTCTGTAGATATGTAGAATTATTTTTTACCCCTAAGTCCTGTGGTTCGGCTAGGCCTATATCTTCTGCGAACGTCCCAGAGAAATTGCTGACTAATAAATCATGTCATTATTTACTAAGGAAAAATCATATTTCACCTAGACAGTATGGATTTGCGTCTGGTCGGTCCACTGAGAATGTATTTTATAATTTATTTAATATTATTAAGATACAAAAAGAGAAATATAATACGGCGTTGATATCGTTTAATGCGTATGGGACTTTTGATGCTATAAAATGGCCATCTCTACTTGAGCCTTGAAATTCCAAGGAACATTTATAAAATATGTATTAATTATTTTTGGGACAAGAAAGTTTTCTATCGTTTCGATGAAGACATAAAAATGAAAAATCTGTATTAAAAGGGCGTGCACGAAGTTCCTGCAGTTCCTGCTCCGAAACACAATTACATTTAGTTTTAAAATACGTAAAGGCAGCCAACAGGATCTAATATACTATGTTACGATTGAACGATACTAATAATACTATGTTACGATTACGATCTAATATACTATGTTACGAATGAAGATTTTAGGATCACTTCTACGGAAGATTTATATGATAGGAAGAATTATAAGACTGCTCGAGAGATCATAAATATTGTCAATTCAAATAGAGAAAGAATTGGAATTGTGAGCTGAGTTCAACTTTTGATTGCTTGTGTTTTTGTTTGTTTTGTATTGTTTTTACATGATGTCGTACTAGTTTTATTTTGTCTCGTCATGTGACGTCTTACTGCATAGCTCTGTAACCTTGATTTACTATTATATTTTTATGTTCATTTAGTTTTTTTGTTTTTTGTGTGTAGTGTGATGTGGGCTCAGCCCCTTTGTGTCATAAGACGAGCTTCGCTCGTCAGGCAGGCCGGACTGCATCCTAAATAAGCAATAAACTATGTTGCGCTGATGATATTCTGCCTGTTGTTAGCGAATCCTCATTGAAATAATTGAGAAGAACGTTTCTGTCTGTTGTTTAAGTTTTAGATAGAGTTGGGCTATGAAAGAAAATTTGAACTTTAACTATTTTTATTTTCCCAAGATACGAGAAATTGACAAGACCGCCTAGACTGAACCATAAGGATGTTTATGATCAAATGTGTTGATAATCTTAAATATCTAGGATTGCATATTGAGAACAAGCTGAATTTTTAACGTCATTTTGATCATTTATGAAGAAAAACAAATCGAATTTTATTGTGTTTATAAGAGAAATTTTTTAGCTAACGTATTAACTCTCGAAAGCAGTATTATTAGACATATTTACAATTTTGTAATTATTTCCATAATTATACATGGAGTAGGAGTATGTGGCCAGGCCCAAGGACCTGCGGAAAATCATAATCAAGTTAAATACACTTCAAATACCGTGGCTGCTATCACTGACCAGATACTTTAGAACTGTCTCAACGGAAGCCGCTTGCACTTCGCCGGTATACCGCCCCTCTCAGTCAGATATCGTTTTAATTTTGATGAACTGAATTTACGCATACAGAAGGAATGAGTATTAGCATATTGTACAGCAATTTTTGTTTTTAATATGTATGTCATCCGCAAAGTGAATTTCTATCATATATCATAGGACTGTTGCTAAGGTTTATATCCCTAACATTGGCTGATAGTTTATGCTTAAAAATCTAACATATCTACGTTAAGGCCATAAATGAAAACCCAGGGGGTAAAACCAGTTTTGCCACTTTATGTGAAAACTGAAGTAATAATCTAACATATCTACGTAAAGGCCATAAATGAAAACCCAGGGGGTAAAACCAGTTTTGCCACTTTATGTGAAAACTGAAGTAATAATGCCATCTAACGGGTAACAGTAATAGCTTCTACATCATGAATTACTTCAGGAGAAAAAGTATTCATATTCGTAACTGTAACCGAGAAAATATTTTGCATTACTGGAAAAAAAAATTTTTTTTGTCCACTCGCCAAGAGGAAAGAAACGTTTATGTCCAACTTCTTTTATCAGACTTATTCATGTTCATTCTTGTCTCTTCTAACGACGGTCTGTTAGTTTCGTGCATCGGTACTTCTGTAGTGCTTGTGAACATGGAAAGTGAAAATTCCAGTGCAGGCTTCAAGTCAGTGACCGCGTTTTCTTCCAAGAAGAGGGGATAAAAAGAGAGATTCTGCGATGTTATGAAAATTTTAAGAGCAACCACACGTGAGTTAGGACCTGACTATAAGTGCAAATATTTTCAGCGCTTTCTATGATTTTTGATGGTGAAAACAGCGAATTCTAAGCTTTTAATGAACTTGGGAATTATAATGCATGTTATCATTAACTCTCCAGTCTTATAACGCTTTTACCTGCAATATGCTGACTGTCTGGAGAATGAGGGATCTTCACACAATGCATATTCCTCTTACCGAACATGTTGTTTCCAAGACGAGCAACGTAATGATAATAGTCGTTTCTAAACTAAGTTTGTAGAAACGACTTTGCTTCATTCCACGAATACAAAAAATGGGCTTAAAAAATAAAAGAAGCTTTGTCCGATGATGTAAAAGTATCGGTGGATCGCAGAGAAAACGTACAAACCGAAAACATGTTTTTCCTGAGGAAACTATTTCTAAATCAATTAAGTTTATCAGTTCCCTCAAGGGGATAAAGCTTTATTATTCCTTAAAAATATGTACCGGAAGAATTCAACATCACAAAATTACGTGGCATGTGCAAAACAAACAATCCATTGCCGTATGATAAATTCAGAGATATTTTAATTCCATGTTTAACCCTGGATTCGGTTACCCAAGAAAGGACACTTGTAGTCTTTGTGATACATTAAAAGCAGAGACTAATATGTTTACCAAAATATCGGAAAACCTTGCTCAAGGACAGAAAAAAAAAAAAAATGCAAAACTAATTCAAGACCTGAAAAAATAATTGACAAACAGAACTTTATTTGAGGAAGAGCCAATTATGACAGCGAAGGAAATTTGTGTTTCCAAGCTTAACAGAAAAGATTAGGTAAAAAGAATTTTAGGAACCTTGAAAAACAATTCAAATTTTGTTTCTTTCTTATTTTTACATATTTCTTGTTTACTATTCAAATTTTGCTAAATAAAGGTTAAAAGTTTATTACGAATTTTTGTATCATTTTATAACAATATTTCCTTGATCACCCAAATTATATAAACTAAAAATTCGTTTTCTTCAAAATTCCTGTCAGTGTACATTAAATGGTCCGTTCCTCCCGGATCTTCAGTTGTCTCAGCGCAAAATACTGCTGCATCACGTTCCGAGAAAATTTTACTAACCATGGGTTTTTATAGGACCAAGCATTCGCACAGGCTTTTGATTATTCCGAATGCTCCTCTAATACGTCTTTTAATTGTTTATTCATCTTCATCAGCCTTGAATACTAATTGGTTTGTTTTGTATTTCTAGAGATTCTAATTGGCACCACTATGCAATAACATGGGAGGGCAGTAAAGGAGAATGGATTTTTTACGTCGACGGAGAAATTATCGTCAATGGCTCACAGCCTGGGGAGAAAAAATTGTTTTGGCCTGGCGTGTTTATTTTAGGTCAAGAGCAGGACAGTCTCGGCGGAACTTTTAGCGTCTCAGAAGCTTTTGTTGGGAATATAACAGAGGTAATACAATTATTTGTCGATTATAGATATGTGTAATTATAAACGACTTTCTTCAATGTTGCTTGAAAGGTCATTTGGAAATAACGTTAAACTTGATCAGTTGCAAAAGCGTAGATTCTAAACTAATTAACTATTTCTAGCTGTCTTAACATCAACAGACAGTGAGAAATGGAATTCTATTAAAAATTATATACCCTTGTTTTCATATGAAAGATATATTTGCTTGCAACTGTCAAAGAACTTAAATTTCTTTATGAAAATGTATAATAAATTGAAAATAAACATTCACTTGTTGCCGTTCTACTACAGAATTCTTGATATTATGAAGGTATATCTGTTGGTTAAGCCATTCAATATATTATTTTTTATGAATGCATAAAAGGTATTTCATCTGTATTTTAACAATAGCTTCAGAATTATCCATAGGAAAACTTTGATCCGGCACTGATTTTTTGTGAATATGCTAGGTGAATGTGATCTGGTGCTTTTCCCGTATATGAGGTCAAAATGAGACCGTGTCCCGTATAAATTACTCTATGAAGATATCCCTCCCTTTAGGTAGATAATCGTCTATCATATTATTTTAATTAATTAAACAACTGAATAGTAGTTAAAAGAAGCTTACGGACCAAGGACCAAGGCATTTGGATTACGGAGTACCTTTGCAATTAATTGCAATTACCTCCACATCATCGTTAATAAAACCGAAATAATTAAGAGACAAGCAATCGCTAAAGTAAAAGGAAGGAGCAGTTATGCTAAAGTCAAAACGTCGAAGGGTCCTTATTGTTAGGACACAGGAGGAGAGTACGAGAGTTTATCAAAGGAAAGGCATTTAGCTCCCCGTTGTGAATCAACTTCAGGTAACTCAGATACAGAGTGAGAGCAACCGGAACGCGAACAGCGTGAATGGTTGCTATGGAAACAGATCAGCTGATGGAGTGAGGCGCAGTTGAAAGAGAACCGGTCCTCGGGTTAGGTACAAAAAGTATTGTATCCAAACGTAGAGCTAAGAGCATTGGGATCAGGGATTAATCTCTTTTAAAGTCCTGCTTGGGATGGTCGCCGAGAGGGGGGATGGGTCAGTGACCGAAGGAGGGAGAAAGAGGCGAAAAACAGTTGCGGCGAGTCGTTCAGATGGCGACGATAGTCATAAGGGCATAAAATACGGGAGTTCCGTTCACACCTGAAAGAACGGTGTGTAAAGCGTGGCCAATGAGAGAAGCTAAATTTGCGCATGCGTGGATGTGTCTACAACTTTCCCGCGCTGTTATCCTGCTCGATTGATTTCCCGCCTTCGCTCTGCTTGTTTTGTGACAGCGAAATCTTCTGTAGAACGCAGCCTCTTTTTAGCTTCGCTCTGATTGATCGACGCTTATCCCAAACTCGACGTAAAGTTGAAAACTTTGAACCCTATGCCACCAGCCCTAAACCAGATTTTGTGACGTAGGACAGACTGGTTGCCTTGGCAACGGAGCTCGGCTTTAACCACGTCTGAACGCTTAGCTCGGCTTTAACCACGTCTGAACCTTTTACGCCCCCGTCTGAACGCAGCTTTATCTTAACTGCCGGGGCAGGTTTTGAGCGCAAAAGAAACGTTAAGTGAATGTAAAAAGAAGTTAAGTCTAACATAATGAAAATAGTTTTAAAGAAATCATTCCTAAGTAGTGTTGATCTTGAGTCATTAGTCAGGCCGAGGCAAGACTGAGTGGTGGAAATAACTAAGGAAATAATTGAAGTTAATTACAATTACAATTAATTAATTAAGTGAAGTCTGGCAAATAAGGTCTTGGCAAAGGCAGGTAAAATATCCTCAGTGCAGCACGGGGATGGATTTCGCGAGAAACGATGTCAGATTAGGTCTGGGGGAGTAAAAACAGTTAGTAGTAGCCGGGTTAGGCCCGTGAAGTACTTATATTTTATTCAAATTAGTTTCCCTAGTCAAGCAGGCAAACCCTTTTAGACTTCCTATGGAAGATGTTATAAGATCTGTCCATGACAGCCTTAGGTCGTTTGACAGAGCTGGGTTCCACCGGATTGTAAGCGGGAATAGCGTGCAGGGCCGGGTTACTAATCTGTTTAATACGGTTAAAGAATTTTGCCGAAACATGCGTGAAAAAAGCATCTAGGGGAGGAATTTTGAGGTCAGAATGAAGTACTTCATTACGAACGTACCAGTGAACATTAGCAAGGATGCGAAGCGTGACGTTTTGAAAAACTTAGATCTTCTTGAGGTGAAAATTAGCTGCGGTGGCCCAGATGGGAGCAGCATGGGTGAGAATTGACATATGGTGCTGGAATAAAGTAGTACTTTATTTCTGAGAGAGAGGTGGCTTCTCTTGATATAAGTTGCATAAGTTGGGTTCTAGTCGTTCTGGCTTTAGCTATTGCATTAGAGATGTGGACGCCCCAGATGAGCTTCGCATCCAAGTAAACTCCTAGATATTTATAGTAATCCAAGAAGCTTACGGAGAACCCAAACAAAACTCGGGGATATGACTGCGTCAGATTTTGCTGCAGTTGCTAATCTTTTTGTTACCCCTCCCCACAAAAAAAGCTGTTAACAGCTGTCGAACAGTGCTACAATTATGAAAAGAATTTAGAAGGAATTTTCCCTAATGTGTTAGTGCCATCGTAACCCTGAACGTGCCAGTATCTGTAGCCCTAGCAGCATACCGTTTTCCGAAATTAAAGTTAATAGCAATTGCTTAGGATCTTCAGTGAATGGTAAAGAATTAAGAAGTTTTTCTGTAATGGCAATAGAAAGGTAGATTGAACATTTAAAAGTTAGCTAAGGTGTTTACTGCTCAAAAATCAAGAAATAAGGTTTAAGTAAGTAATTTAAAATAAAAAATAATGCGAAATAGAAAGATCTCAAAATGGACTCAGATGGGATGAATGCATACCCGAAAAGAGTCTGAAAATTGTCGAACTTTTCGAATCCTTCATATAACACTAATAAGAAGAGAAAAGGGAAAGAAAATGTTTATTTAATGTTAAAAGTCTTGATAAAGCAAAATGTGAAATCTGCGTTTAATGTAAAATTTAAGAATACTGATTTGAAATACGCATCTGTATTGTTATCTTTATGGAGAAGATGCAAATGAAATTTAGCCAAGGAAGTATGTTATTAAAACTAATGAAACTTAAAATTAATTTTTTCAGCATAAATTAACAAAACAAGTGTGAGTAACAGCTGAAATTATCTACATTCAAAATCTTCTTTAATCAAAGTAAGTGTAGAGGAAAGAGTATCTTATATTAAAGAACGCGTAGAGAAAACAATGTGTATGGCGTGGGCACACTCATCCGATCTTACAAGGTTAAAGGGGAAAACCTCTTGCCTTCTGACCTCTTGCAACGTGAAGGAGCGGCTAAATTTTTCCCTACCTGCATGCTGTGCACTTATCGCATCAAGTGGAAGTGATTCTTTATCATTAAATTTGGCGTGGTTTATTTTTACACTTTAAGCATAATTGTTAATGTTTAATAATGTTTACATTCGAAGCATGCGCTGATATGTTTGAATATGCGTAATTTCATAAGCTAATTTATTTTGTTTACTGCTCATTGTTGCGCATATTTAAGGTATATTGTAAAATAAAATGATAAAACAATTTATCCATCTTTTTTAAACTTTATTTAATATTGCTTATTTTTATTCAATATCATTTAATCTTATCGGCCAAGTCTCAAAATGTGTATACAACTTTAAAGTTGGATTTATTCTCTACTTTTTAATTCCCTCATTCTCATTCCCATGCAGTTCATAACCGTAACGACATAACTAGTTTCATGCGTTCTGTTATTCGATTCGTTAGAGAATCGGAGGCTAACTAGTTATCTGAAGAATGAATTAACGTAGACAAATAAGCACTAAATATGGAGAGCTAAATTTCCTCCAGAAAGTAAAAAGCAAGCCACTAGGAGGTGACATTGGCGATCCATATTCGGAATTATAATATTAATGTTCTTTTAGTTATGAGCGCATGTTTAATAAACACAATTAAACTAATCTTTCGAATATTTTGAATAAAAATATCCAATTGGTTTTTGGAACAAAGCGTAAGATTTCAGTTTCGTAATCTCAAATCTCATTTAACATTCGAGAGCTTTAAGGATTCTATTAGCTCATCTGGAGTTGCAAGAGAGACGAAACGCTCGAAGAAAACATGATTAAGGGCATTTAAAATCCATTACGGCAAAGTTTTGAAAGTGCTTGATAACTTCATTGACTTTATATTATGCAACTGTACAGCGGCCATAGTCATTAGCGAGGATTATATACTATTAGAATCACGCTTCTCGAAACCTCATTATTGCAGAAACATGTGCATTGTAGCACTGTATGTCGCATTATGTGAATAACAATGTTGTTTAAAAAGTTTCTAATATCTTCTTTTTACCTATTGTAATGTACTTTTGATATAAATACTGTTTCACATTCTGCATGGTCACAAATGTCTTTCTTTGTAGTATAGAATCTATGTCTTTTTGGGAACATTCTTAGAAGACTCTACGTAGAAGACTACGTAGCGAATTCTCGCTAAATCTTTGAAGAACAAATACTACAGAAGAAGGTTTAAATAACCTTTTTATTTGGAACTAACATAACAAGATGCACGCACTCGGTGCTCTCAATTTACCACTACTTGTGGCTAAATTAATTTGAAATAAAAATGTAAAATCATAATAAATTAGGATGGCTAAACGACTAGCTCCTTAGTCATTTAAACAGCTAAATCGGCTGCACACAGCAAAGCCGAGCCTAGAATAATATAATCTGAAGAAGGACCAACTACAGAGCTAGTATTTCAAAGACGCAGCATAAACTTGGAACTAACTCCGCTGTCCTCACGAACTCTTGAAACCGCAGCTTAAGTACTGCTTCTGAACACACATAGATTTTGCATACTACGTCATTAAAATTTACATTTCGGCAGGAAACTGAAATCCGGAGGAAAAGGAAAGTCAAACTAAAAAGAATTGGTTAGAATAAAATAAAGTCTTTACAGTAGTGCCTTTTACTCCCTTATTCTTTTGATCAGTATATATTAGAAAATGATCGGATTTTGAGTTTCTCTGGTACCCTTTATATAAGTTGTAGAAAGTCAAAAATTTTCCGAGAACGGAGCACATTTTTTTCCCATTTTTGTATTTTAGAAGAAAATTTGTATTTTTATTGTATTTAAGAGTTACATCTTTTCCAATAAATATTTTGTTTGCTCCTCCCATGTAGTTTAACGTTTGGGATCAGTACATGTCGGAAGATCAAATAAAGCAGCTTTCGTCTTCTTGCGGTTTTGTTGGGAATGTCATTCCTTGGTTTACAGCTTTGAGGCATATTTCTGGCAGCGTCTTGGTGGAGGAAAATGAATGGTGCAGAGGTAAGATAGTAAAATTTATATAGTATGATAGAAGTATGACGAACTGAAATTTAGCTTTTACACGCACAATTGCCTGGAAATAAATAGCTGGCAATCATTAAAGACGGAGATCTTATCTTGTAACGTGATTCCTAGATGTGAACGAGATCGCACTGTACAGAACCTAACAGTTTAAAAGTTGAATTCTGTGTCAAGATTGCCAGTCTATTATCGCTCCATTCTAAATCTTCCAGTAATGTAGCATCAACTCTGAAGAAGTTTTAAACAAATCTTTGTATTAGAACTTCAATTTAACAACTTAACACAACCTACGCAATAACAGGATAAATTACCGCTTCATGTATAATTTAACAGAACACAAAAGTTAGAGTGAAACTTACGTAATTTTAATATGAAATTCACAAAGTTAAGTCCACATGTTAATTTTGACTCAGGCCTTCAATTCACGCGAAAAAACACTGCTAGCAAAGGCTAAAACCTATTCAGATAAATCTAGGAGCTGGGTGGAAAACGTACTAAGACGGTAGCGGTTGCTGCCAAAAGCTCTGTCCTAACTTCAAGAATTATATTCTAATATACATTAGCTAACCTGAATCTTGGTAGGATCCGACGAAAGTAGAAGTGAAAGTACAGGCAAAATGATAAGATATTATGCTAATAAACATGGAATCCCTTCAAACTGAAATACGACTTTTCGAGGCTTGAAATAGCTCTACTATCTACATCAATTTCCCATCGTTCATAGAAAAACTTTTTTTTTTTTTTTAACATCATAAGTCTCAATGAAGCTGTGTGCCCTGTCTTGCTTACTTTATCTTCTTCCACATTCCTTGCTTACCCAAACTGAAAACTAAGCCTAAAATTAATTTAAATGCTCAGAAGATATGCTTTATATTATTCTTTACTTTATTTATTTATCATTTTATTTATTCATATTTCGTTTTATTTATTTATTAATTATCTTGTTTGTTCATATTTAATTTCATTTGTTCTTCTTTACTTTTTTGGTGTATGAGAGAGAAGGATGCACGAAATAAATCATATATCAGATAAAGCCATTTATAAGGAAAAATTGAGAACCACTGATTAAATATTGTTGGTAATTATTACTTATTGCAAATAATTATTGTCGCAATGAGCCTTTTTTCTCTAGAGGTATTTTATTAACATTTTCAAACAGAATGTGAACTTTGAGAAACATCAGTCTCATTGTTTGTTGAGATCTTTCTTCATTTCACAAAATTGCAATTTTTTAAGTAAAAAAAGGAACTAATGGTTAATTATTTTGTCATAATTTGGTATTTCAAATATACATTACAAAATAAGAATCCTTTAGAACATAGAAAAGAAATAGGCATGAGTTCAGTAAATCAAGGATTTCAGACGATTTTGTGTTTTGGGATCAATTTATCTTAAATTCTGGAATATAAGAGTATTTTTTCACTATTTTAAACTTCGAGATTGAGAAAGAATTGTAAAGCTGTTGAAAAAAAGCCGTAATATTGTGTCGTATAAAATTTTAATGTAAGGTAACCCCCGTAATGCATCAAAACTAATACAATTCCGTTTGTTGAAAATATATTCCGTTTTGTTCTGTGTTACCGTATTGTCGGTTTCTAATTGCACTGAAATTTAAGTTATTTAATTAAATACATTATGAAGTGTGTTATTTTATGTGAAAAGAATATGAATTTTCATATAATTTAATTCATTATAGATATTGGTGCCTGCAATGAAAAAGACTGCAACTGTTTTTATTCAAATAGATCATCGGGTATGTATCAGATAATTTGCTTCTTTAAAAAATATTAAGAAATCTTAATTATTTGTCCTTGTGATTCTCATGATTTTGATAAATCTTTCGGAAACCTTTAGCTGTGCAGAAATTCTGCCATATCGATCAGACAACTATAGATTTTATTTGAAAGAATTAAAAAGAATAAATAACAAAATAATAAATAGTTTTCGAATTTGAAAAACAGCATATTTTTAAATTAATTGCTACTTTAGATGTACCGTTTGCATGGCTAATACGAAAGAATTTTTCTTTCCTTATATTTTTAGATGAAAAACGTTATATAGAATTTTGAATTACAATAATAATGTTCCGTTTGAAATGAATGCACAAGTCCGATAAAAAAATGAACAAAAGTTTATTATTATCACAATCAATATGCTTAAATTTCCTCAAATTATCATGCAGTATTACAATATCTCACAGTAGTTATCTTTTAACTACTCAAATGTTCCAAAGAACGTAATTCAAAACAGCTAAAGAAAGCTAATCCGCGAATTCGCTACAATCAACAAGAGCAGTTTTCTAAACAACAACAAACTAAGCAACTACTACTACGAACTGAGAGGTTTTCCTCCTTTTATAAGATTTTAAAATCACGCGCTAGAATTTTCCTAGTACTTTCTCGAAATCAAAAAGAGATATTTATTTTATTTAATGCACGCGCTCTTGTATTTTCAATTTTCCGGCTTAGCTTTCTTTTAATATTCGTCACGCGCTGCACTGCGCGAGAAATAAAACCATTTAATTTATAATTGAACTAACATTAGCTTTTTAAATACCAAATTCGTAACACTGCCCCCTTCCCAAGGACTGCACGTCCCGGGCAGTACAATCCCTGGACAGGAAGCTAAACTTACAACTGTGGCATAAATGCAATAATAAGCATTACATTACAATAATAAACAACATGAACAATAAATGCAATAAATAAAAACAAATCAAATGCTACAAATACAAATCAAATATAAATGCAAATCAAATACTAAATACAAATCAAATCAAATACACATTTAAAAACAAAAAGGACCATGGTCTTATACTATTTACAATTATTTACATTACGTACTATGGCCATAGTAATGAGCTAACCTGTCGTAATGAACGACTTTAGGTTTAGAGCTCGAGACTTACGGATCCGAACCACGACGTCATTCGTTTTGTTTCAGGACTGTATAAGGACCATCCGAAGGTGACTGTAATTTAGGACTCAGTCCTTTTCGTTGAATCGGGTTCCACAACCACACCTTGTCTCCTTTGTTGGAATCTATGTCCAGTAGCTCTTGTGTTGCATCTGGTCTTCACTTTCTCCGTCGCCAAGTTCACTCGCTTTCGTGCAGAACGGTGCATCCCCTTCAAAACGGGCCTGGGACATCTTGGATGTGTTCCTCAGGCGATGAAGGCGCATCCGTAGGGCGATCAAACAGGCGGTCACAAGGCAGACGAAGGTCTCGACCGAAGAGCATCTGGGATGGAGAATAGCTGGTAGTCTTGCGTTTCTTTTCGACCCTAGTATGATTTCGGCAGCTTCCTGAGCTGGGTCTTTCGGACAAGGCGTCGACATTTCCAGGCGAGGATCCCTTTTGAGGATGGATAGTCATGTCATCAGATGCTGAAAGCAGCTTATTGTTTTTGAAAGTCTAAGGAAAAATTGTATTTCCTTAAAAAGTCCAATCCGAGTATGCATGGATCTGTAATATCCGCCACATATGCCGTGTGATGGTAGGCGGCACTTCCAAACGTGATGTTTCACGTTTAACTTCCCAGTTATGTCGATCTTGTCACCAGACGCAGTCTGAAGGGTAACACAGGATGGCGTCCAAATAAGTTTATCTTTAAACTGTTCAGCTAAATCTTTCCGAATGATGGTAATGTTAGCTCCTGTGTCAATGATCATATTGCGAGAAACTCCATCGATATTTCCATTCCTGGACAGTCCGTTACTGTTGCCACTCACTATAGAAATCTTAAGCGCTTTAAAACAGGGTTTTTCATTATCTGGCAACCTCCGTTCCTCGATATGGTCATTAATTTGTTTCCTGCGTCGTTGCTCAGAAATTGTCTCAATTTTCGTACCCTGGGGTGTTCTGCAATTCTTTCGTACGTGGCCTTCAGCTCCACAGTTCCAGCACTTTGGTTTCTTGTCAGTCCTTTTCCTTCCCGTGGCATTTAATTGTCTGTTTAAATCGTATGCCTTATTTTCCGTGCTCTGGGGAGTTTTTCTGCAGTTCCTTCGTAGGTGGCCTTCAACACCGCAATTCCAGCACTTTAGGGTCGGTTTCTTTTCACCACTATTCCGTCTTAAAGCATTCACTGGTCTTGTCAACTCATCCGTTTTATTATCCGTGCCCTGGGGTGTTCTGCAATGCCGTCGTAGGTGACCTTCAGAACCACATCTCCAACACCTTACAGCCACTTTGTTCTCACTGCTACTCCGTATCAAAGCATCGACTTGTCTGGATAAATCATCTAAACGAGCCATCAATTGATCCACTGGCTCGTGGACTCGCACAGCTCTGACTGGGTAGCGATCTCTACGAGTTGCTTGCTGGGCTGCCTCGAATTTCACGGCGTACAACAGAGCGCTTTTTATCCTTCACATCCGCCATTCGCAGAGCTTTCTGTATTTCAGGATCCCGGATGCCATCGATGAAATATTGCAGCAACAGGATTTCCCTTGTTTCTGTCGGGCACTCCGAAAAGGCGTGATGGGACAGCCTTTCTACATCCGTGGCGAGTTCCTGAAGTGTTTCGGTGGCTTCTGTTGACGGGATTTTAATTGAAGCCTGCTGTAGTCTTTTAAACATTTCTCGCCAAAGCGCAGCTCCAATGTTAATCTTAAGGACTTTCAATTTTCATCCATGCAATCGCGGGATTCGAACCTCGGACCGAACTACCAGTGTTCAGCGACTTTACCGCTCGGCCGCTGGTGGGCCCCCAATGCGCCGGATAGAGCTTCGAAGTCAAGTCTTTGGTTTTTCGGGAAAGCGTCTGCAGCATATCCGCTGCGTCTGCTCGTAGAGAAGCGGCGAGATGACAGGCCTTAGCTTGGGAATCCCATCCATTCGCATCCGCAAAGATAGAAAATTGTGTCTATACACCTGCCAGGATGTCTTCCCATCATATGTGGATAGCTTCAGAGATGGACGAGCAGGCATCAGTAAGAATTTAAAACCCTCAGAATTGCTTCTTGCCGTCGCTACGATCTTCTTTAAAGTATCAATTTCTTTGGCAACTGCAGACATTCTCTCATCAATTTGTTGATTAACGGAACAAACTCTTCCTTCTATTTCTTCTTTGACCGAATAAACTGTGTAACCTATTCGTTGTTCCACGTCCAAAACTCTGTCTTCTATTTGCTCTTTCACAGAAGAAACTATAATCGATTTGTTGTTCTACGGCCGAAACTCTCTGTTCTATTTGTTGTTTGACAGAAGAAACGTTTTCTTCAATTTGCCCAACTTTGTTTTCAACCGCGTCCATTCTGCCTTCGATAGTCTCAAATTTATTTTCTATTATGCAGGTAATTTCCCTTTTCATCTCTTCCTGAGGCCCACCAGCGGCCGAGCGGTAAAGTCGCTGAACACTGGTAGTTCGGTCCGAGGTTCGAATCCCACGAACGGGCTGGCTGCATGGGTGTTTTCGTGGTTTTCCTCATGTGTAGCGTGTATACGAGCCAGTTTCCCTTAGAAAGTCCTCCTCCTCCACGAAGGCATCCCTCCCCTTAGGCAGATAACCCTAGTGTGTTTTGCCATAATTAAATACACCACACCACACCACATCATCTCTTCCTGTCCTGCTTCAATCTTCTCTTGACCTGCTTCAATCTTTTCTTTGACTGCATCTTGACTCAATTTCATTTCTTCCTTAACGGATTCCTGGCCCAATTTCATTTCTTCCTCAACGGAGTTGACGGCCCCTTGCATCTTTTCTTTGAAAGCAGCAAATGCAGTCATCATTTGCCTGAATTGTTCTTCCATCGCTCTTGTTAATTGGCATTCAAAATCCCACTTCTGACACCAAAAATTGTTGCGTGCGTACGGGTTCGTTTGAAATGAATGCACAAGTCCGATGAAAAATGAACAAAAATTTATTATTATCACAATAAATATGCTTAAATTTCCTCAAATATTCATGCAGTATTACAAAATCTCACAGTAGTTATCTTTTAACTACTCAAACGTTCAAAAGAACTTAATTCAAACACAGCTAAAGAAAGCTAATCCGCGAATTCGCTACAATCAACAAGAGCAGTTTTCTAAACAACAACAAACTAGGCAACTACTACTACGAACTGAGAGGTTTTCCTCCTTTTATAAGATTTTAAAATCACGCGTTAGAATTTTCTAGTACTTTCTCGAAATCAAAAAGAGATATTTATTTATTTAATGCACGCGCTCTTGTATTTTCAATTTTCCGGCTTAGCTTTATTTTAATATTCGTCACGCGCTGCACTGCGCGAGAAATAAAACCATTTAATTTATAATTGAACTAACATTAGCTTTTTAAATACCAAATTCTCAACAATAATAATAATTGTGAAATGTTTAAAAGAGACATTGAACTAAACAGCAAAATTTCCTATGCTTTTCTTTTAACTTTTAAATGCAAATATAATAAACGAAAATTTAGTGAAGGCAGCAAAAAAGAAAAAAAAAAACTGTGAAGAATTAATTCAGATGAATTAAGTTCCAGTCCATATGATACTTCTCAAAAATAAAAGCATTTAAATAACTTGTAAGTCATAAAGTGGCTGCTAGTTTTCCCCGTAACATGTCGCAAAAATAGATTTTATACGTCTTGCTTTTATTGTTACATGTATTAATTACCGCTTCCTCTTTTATGCGGCCCACCAGCGGCCGAGCGGTAAAGTCGCTGAACACTGGTAGTTCGGTGCGAGGTTCGAATCCCGCGAACGGGGTGGCTGCATGGGTGTTTTCGTGGTTTTCCTCATGTGTAGCGTGTATACGAGCCAGTTT